ACACACACACACACACACACACCTTTAATCTTTACAAGCATATTTACCTGAGCAATGATGAAGGTGCAGCACGGTGGCTCAGTTGGTAGAGCTGATGCCTCTCAGCAAGAAGGTCGCCGGATCAAATCCCGGCCCGTGGACCTTTCTGGGTAGAGTTTGTGTGTTCTCTCCGTGCATGTGTGGGTTCTCTCCGGGCACTCCGGCTTCCTCCCACACACCAAAAACATGACTGTTAGCAGTGGTTCCCAAACTTTTTATCTTCTGACCCRCAAAATATTCATGGCAAAAACTTGTGACCCCAAATATTACTGGTCTCTGAGTACACAAACTTTGTTAATAACCCTAAAAACAAAGGCTACACAAATATTTATACTTATTTTGTGTTTTTGTAATAATTATAGGGAAAATATTACCTCACCAATTACTTTATTACCCTTTAAATTGATTTCTGAAGTGTAGTGGTTCTCAAACCTTTCAGCTTTTAACCCACAAAATAACAGTAGCAGAGACCTGTGCCCACAACTATTTTTGGGATGATAAACATTTGTATCATGTCAACTAAACATGGGCATAGTAACAATATTTATTATTCTACAGTTATACATTTTAGGCAGCTAAGGCAAAAATGTAATTAATTTAGAAAATCTTTTCAGGACCCCACCTTGATGTTTCAGGACCCCACTTTGGGTCCCGACCCCAACTTTGGGAACCACTGGGTTAATTGATAACTCTAAATTGTCCCTGTGATGGACTGGAGACCTGTCCAGGGTGTACCCTGCCCCTCACACTCTGACTGCTGGATATGGGCACCAGTGACCCTGAAAGGAAGAAGCGGGTATAGATGATGGATGGATGATAAAGGTGTTCCTAAAGGACTGCATTTTATTTTTATCTAAATCAACCTCTCCTTGATTTGCTTTTGTAAACTCAGAGGTTGTAGATGTCTTTAAAGCAACAAGCCTGAGTTGAACCCAATTTTTAAAGAAAAAGACGAAGCGAGGAATGATTTAAACACAGATGAGGTGTTACCGTGGCAACGAGGAGGCTGTCCTCTGGGGACACCTGAGCTACCTGTGCAGCTGTCAGATATGGTCTAATTACTGACGCCGCCCTCACCTGACTGCATCCTTTTCTTTGTGCTGCAGGTGGTTGCCTTAGTGATGGATGGGGAGTCGGAACCAAGCCCTGTCGTGGCAGAGGAGGCAGAGAGGGAGGAGCCTACAGATGCCACTCCTCCCCCCCAGCAACACACCACCTCCCCTGATGAAGGGTCTGGGGAGGCAGTTTCCATGGAAACAGAAGAGGAAGCCACAAAGGAGCCCAGCGTGGACGACGACGATGATGATGTAGTTCTTGTAGAAGAGGAAGATCCCAAGCCTTCCACTGCAACTTCCTCCCAAGACACTCCCAGCGCAGAGCGCTCAGAGCCAGCTGGTGCTGATGCTGCTGCCGTGGCAACCGTGGACACGGCGGCAATGCCCAGCTCTCCTCCGTCTTCCAGCACGTCTGTGGTGGAAGCACYTCAGACGGCTGCGACCGCAGCACCTGAGCCCATCGTCATCGATGACGAGGAAGACTCCGAGCAGAAGGAAGCCTCTCTCTCACCTGTGCACCCTGAAGGCCCCTCCYCCCCACACTCACCCAGTGCTCTGAGCACCGCGGAGCACTCAGAGATCAGGATCTCCAGTGTCACCACGCTGGGCTCCTGCAGCCAGAAGAACCTGTCCCTGTCTGCAGCGAACACACCACCACATCCAGCAGACGAGCAGGCAGACATGAACCTGATGATCACCTCTGTCACGTCTCTGCAGGGAGCCGCGGTGTTATCGGTAAGGCTGCCTTCTCAATAGCCTACATGCCACGGACATCTGGTCCAGCACGTGATGCCACTCCGATCACTTCCGGTTCACGGTCAACACAGTGTTAGCGAAA